GATGTAATAGAACCAACACAATTCAAAAAAATAGAAGAGCCTTTATTTAAGCAAATATCCAAGAGTGTGTCAAGTTCACATTTTCAGGTAAATAAAAGAAGCATAAAAAAACCCCAAACAAACCTTGCAGTAACTTATTCCATGGTTGCTTGACCCCCAACTTTGTGTTTCAGGTTGCAGAAAGAGCTTTGTACTTCTGGAATAACGAATATATTCTTAGCCTGATTGAGGAGAACATTGATAAAATTCTACCAATTATGTTTGGCAGTTTGTACAAGATCTCCAAAGAACACTGGAATCCGTATGTAATGTTTCACTTTATCTGTAGTACCATAAATAAATTGTCCACTGTTTTAGGTTTGGWTTGAGAGCTTGTAAATGTGACTTCATTTTTACTTAAAATCAGATTAAATTCATGACATTCAGGGTGCTGAAATGAGTGTCACTTTCAGCTACATTGTGCTTTCACTGTTCTTCAATTTACTGAAAAAAATGTGAGGAAACTGGATGATGGTCTTTATACTGTAATCACGTATGTTAGTTCAAAATGCAAATTAATGCTACTTAGACCAAAACCATTTCCAAGGGTTGCTTCTATTTATGCTTTGCTGTCCATCCTTTACTACTTCAGATAGTCTAATCCTTTGATTCTAATCTGTTTTGGAGGACAACAAAACATGCTTTTATCCATCTGGTTGTCTGATATGGACTCAACTACTTGCTTAAAATCTAACTTTTCCTCTCAGAAAACCAAATCTTTGAATAAGCTTTTGACCTCAAACCACATGAAAGCCAGAGTACAAAAAAAATCAAATTTAAAAAAAAAGTGTGTAAATTAGCTAAATATACTATGCATTTTGAATGAGCACAAGGTTCACATGAACAGCTGGGAGGTTTMCTAGATTAGCAGAATGCACTGAAAAGGCAAACCTGTTTTTTTTTTTGTTATTTCCTTAGGGTTTGTTTTTTTTTTTACTCCTTCAAGGTCACTGGGCTGCAGCTTTGCTGTCAGTGGGGAACTGCTAGTGAGGGAGAAGACAGGGCAGACAGTTTACCTGCTCTTTGATTAGTGATAAGATTAATGACAGGCATTTTAATGTTTTATTTAATTGGGGKTTTTATTTCTTTTTATAAATATGAGTGGGTTTAAAGGAGTTAACACAATGTTTCAGATAGTTTATTGAAATATGAATACTTCCACAAAAAGAAGGGTGGTGTAGGAATACGGGCAGCCATGTAACAATGCTCAAGCTGTTGGGTTTCTGAAGGAAACCAAGGTACCCAAAACCATTATCTGATGTTCTTGATTCAGTTCTCTAGTGGGGCATGTGCAGCAAGACTCCTGCTGCCCAAAAACACTGCTGGGAGAGCTTTGTGTGGCTGTGCTAAACCACTCTAAGCCTGTGGTTTGTCTGCTGCCTTCTCAAAGCCATGAGCCAGAAGTTTTATTTTTCTAGACTCTCATATTTCATTGCTCAAATATTACAAAGTTGTTGTTAAAACTTGGSTTATTAAAGGTTCTCATAATTGAATGGCTTTAAAGTACAGCCACAGCATGAATAATTATATCCTGTGCAATTACAGAAGTCAGGAATTTAAGGTTAAATAGCCATTTCAAAAAATGTTTAACTATACTRTAATTTCCTCTGTAAATTAATAAAATGGAAAGGATTTTGTTTCACAAACTCCCTGACCTTACAGTATTATCTTGAATAAGAACCTTGGAATCCAAAAAAGAAATCAAATGCTTGTTTACTGAAGWTAGTTTGTCACTGAGAAAATCTAATGGCCGTGCTCGTCCTGTTTCAGAACCATTGTGGCACTGGTGTACAACGTGCTGAAAACCCTGATGGAAATGAATGGCAAGCTTTTTGATGAACTCACAAGCTCATACAAAGCAGAAAGGCAAAGGTACTGACCCTTTTTCCAAGTGCCCTTTGATGACTGTATCCAGGCTGTCATTTGGGATGTTGCTTTGCTGTTGTGGCTGTGGGGTTCTGTAGTGGAGCTGTTTGGTGCTGAGTGTCCTGTGCGTGAGGAGGAGCTGAGTCCAGGGAGGGAACAGGAATGCCCCACTTCCCCATCCTGCCTGGACAGGGAATGTGCTCACTCCATTGTGGTGAAATCAGGCTCAGCTGCTGCTGCCTCTGCTGCCTCAGGTGTCTGAAGAGAATTGAGCTGGAGAGCGCTTCATAGCTCAGCAAAAACATCTCTTACCCTACTAACCTACTAAGCAGCACTGCTGGAGTCAGGGAGGCAGGGCACAGGTGATCCTTGGCCAGCTGAGACCACTGCCACGTCTCCTTGCAGMAGCTGGAGTGTTCTTTCCTCCCCAAAGATGCTCAGTCCCTTAATTGTGTGCATGGGATAAAGAACCTCCTTAGAACTGCAGCCATCTGTGCAAAGCCACACTGCTGCAAGTGTCTGCATTTGCTGGAGCAAAGGTACAGTTTCACCACTCACCGTTACTGGTTTGTTATGCTCACTCTTTAATTGAGGAAACTGCAATTGCCTCTAAAAATAGCTCTGGAGAAAAGCTTTAATGAGGAATTAGTAGATGTAAGTCATAGTTAAGTTACCGTGTCTCCAGACTGCGCTTAAAACACATCTGAAATTGATCTTGCACTCTTTYCTACAGAGAGAAAAAGAAAGAATTGGAACGTGAAGAGTTGTGGAGAAGGTTGGAGGAGTTRAAGCTTAAGAAGGCGATGGCAGAAAAGCAGAACAGCACTCACAATGTGCTCAATGCACACAATACAAGTGCCAAATAAAAGAAATGACCACCTCTACTCGGCAGACATTCTTTTTTTGTACCCTTTTGAAATATATAAGGATTTGCAAAAGAAACCTCATCAGTATAATAGAAACAGCCAATTTTTTTCTCTGGCAAATGTAAAGATTTGAATTTAAATACAGCAGTTAAGTAATGTCATTACCACAACATATTGTAAATTTGTCTAATTATTGATATACTGTCACWTCCAATGTTTCATAGAACTGAATTATCATCCTTAATGAGTGAAATAATTACGGGAGTGGTGAGAATTATGACTTGAATTTTTGATTGTGTTGCACATAGGTGGTATAGTTTGCTACGTACACATTTTTCCTTGTTTTATATGTGCTTTTCACATTGCTGCATACTTTGGTTAAGATGATAGAAAAGGCTTCTAGTTGTGCTGTATTTTCTCAAATAAAACCAAGGTACGTTACCAGTAACTTGAGATATTCAGTATGTGCCCCTTACAGCAGTGAAAGGAATTCGGATACAGTGCTGTCCTTGGCTTCCTGATTGGATTCAGATTTAGATTTACAAAATGCTCACATTAGAAAGGAGGTGATGCAGGGAGAGGATCAGCTGCAACAGGTTGAGGTGGCCAGTGCCTCTTCCCCATTCCTGCTGTCTCTTGGGTCCTGGGCTAGTTAGGGATTTCCTCCTGCTACAGCTGAGGATGGAGCTTCCTCTGGAGAGCCCATCAATGATGCTCCTCATCAGCCCTAGGACCCTCCAGAGTGGAGCAGGCTCTGAGAGAGACCCATCTTGGATGTTTCTGCATTAGTTTTAGCATCTCATAGAGTGAAGAATGAGACCAAAATTGGCATTATTATTGGGATTTTTTTTTTTCAGTAAGAAGAATGTCAAGAAAGTTCCTTGTTTTCTTTAAAGAAAATGCAGTCTGTTTCTTAAAGGTGGAAAGCTGACAATAGAAGTCTTGTCTGTTTACTTGATCAAGTATTTTTTCACATCTTTTAACAGAGTACCATTCCAATCTCTTAAATTGCAGTTGTGTGGAAAAATTTTGTAATGAAAGATCTTTGGGGAATTGAGCAGCATTCAATAAAGTCTTTATGTTTGTATTTAGTGCTGTACCTCCCATCTTTGTGTTTATGAAGACCAGGAGCATTCGAAGGGCTGTCAAAAATAACCTTTTTAACTGTGCAGTGTGGCTTTTCACTGAGTGGCAAAAGGGGGGAAGTCTCAGCTATGCTGTTAGAGTCAACTGTCCTGCACTTACTGTTGCTTCATTTTTGTCTCTAAGCAGTAGTTTCACAGAGTTTATGGGATTRGCACAGCCTGGAGGGGCTTGTACTTCCAACTGCTCTGTTGGATCAATCCCATTAGCTGYTCCTCTCTATCAGTTTTATATAAAAAGCAGAGAGAATCAGCTGATCAAAGCAGACTGCCATGGTAGCTGGCTGCCCAAAATTTAAGGGGAAAGAAACCTCTTTACCTTTCATGGTGTTTCTTGAAGGGAGAAGACAGTCACAGAAGCACATCTCACCACAGTTTAGTGCTTTAGTGCCTTTTTGCTCTTAGAAGAATGAAATTCCCACTGTGTGATAAATTATTTTCAGCTGTCCTGCAGCCTAAAGGAAATAACTTCTACAAATACTGGTGAACCAAATACCTTGCAGGGGTAATTGTTACAAGCTTTTCCAAAAGTTACAAATATGGACATCAGGCTTAAGTAAGAGAGAAGACAACGGAGGAGCTGTAAGATACCCTTCCAAATTGTGTAACACTTGCTGTTAGAATAACTCCTATAAATAGGTATGTAAAAGAAAGGTTTCTTGGCTGGGATCACTGGCCTGCTCTTGTACCATTTCCTTATAAAACAAAACATCTTGACAGCTGAGATGTAGTGACTGAAATGGACTGCATGGGAGTTTATTGAGGGGAAAAAAATACACTGGAAAAAGACATTAATGCTTTATTTAAGGATACCTTTTAGTCCCCCCCACAGCTCCAGCTGTCTTCCTACTTGCCTTCTCTGACTCGTTGGCCAAAAAAAAAAAAAAAAAAGCCAGGAGAATCCCTCAGTCCCTGTAATTGTTTCTTTCTTTTTTTAATCAAAATATAGCTGCTTTGTCAAGAGTTGGGTGTTACTTTGACAGTCTGACACCAAGACAGCTCAGCTGTCATAGCAGAGGCTGTTAGGTAGCAAAATCAGTGTGGGTTTTCTTGCTGTGGAAGGGTTAAATGGGGGGATTTTATCCACCCCCCCCCCACCCTCTGCCCGATTTCTGTTCTGTTCTCCATTCCCCAGGAATGGAGTAGCTCTGTTTGCTTCAGCCAGGCACAGTTTGGCACTTTAATCTCATTCCCTTGCTATGCACTAGGCTCAGCTGTTCAGGAGCCACCGTTGTGAGATACWGTGGATAAGGTGGTGACTGGACACCACCTTTAACACTTTCCTCCAAACAGCCAGTGCTGCTGTTTTGTTTATTTTACTACAGTGAGTTGCTGCTCCCTTGGCTGAGGCTGTGTCTGGTCAATGCAGTGCCTTAATGTGCTCTGGAAATCAGCTGAAAGTAGTAAATTTTGTTCAAGAAGGCTTCCTCAGATGCCAAAAACAAGAAAAAAAAAGGTGAGGGGGTACTTTTGATTCACTTTTGATTCTTCTGAGTACTCAGCTAGAAGAGGAAGGAAGAAGCAAACTGTGCCTTGGCATCCTTGCAGCAAAGCCTCCAGAGCAAACACTCAGAGGTGCCCTGCTCCCTGTACACTCCACACTGTCCAAGTCAGGCATCTCAACTAACACGGGACTTATAAGGAAGAAAAAAACACCACCACCCCAGCACAGTGGGTGAGCAGGCATTGCCCATGGAACAGAATCACAGTTCTGTGCTGTGCTGGTGAAAGACTGTTTTTCACTTCCTTAGGAAAGACTGGGGAAAAGAGGGATAAACAATAGACTTTGAAATCGACTACCAGCTCAGTCCTGTTGGTTGAGTTTCTTGTGAGCTGGACTGGTCAGGAGGAGCTTTTTGGTTTTCACCTCATCCTCATGCCATAATACTCCTTCGTCCTGTAAAGTTCCATCTGAACCTGAGAGCAGGTAGTTCCAAAGAAGGCACACRAGAGCTTACTTGAAGTATTTTTTAATATTAAAGTCATTGTACTTTAAATCAAAAATGACATGTAATAGAATTCCAGTGTATTCCATTTTAAAACATACTTTGGAGAAGAAAGGCCAGGATGTTCTCAGAGTACCTCACCTTCCACTAAGCACCAGCAAGGCAGTGACTGTGCTATAGGAGCAGCTCACAGCTGATGCAGAAACTAAAGGGTCTGTTTGAGAAGCATTCAAACACTGTCCACTTTTTCACAATTTACTACCGTGATGACTGTCTGAACATATAATAAGTTCCCTTCTTTCCCCCTGGTTGCCCCATACTCTGAGGTAAACTTGTTAAACAGGGACTAGAAAAGCGTGAGTTTGTTAGACCTGTCCTAGAGTTAKCTCCTTCTGCAGTTCAAAGGCCGGTTCACTAGGCTGTTCCTYCAGCCAGCGTTGCTCTGGAAGAAAACATACCTGGTTTGCAGCTTTAGTTGCTGATTGAAGTTTATTCCAGTTATTTTCTATCCCTCCTGCTATGAGCAGTTTAAAGGCAGTCTCAGCTTATGTGGTTTGTTACTTGACGACTCCTCTTCAGATGCCGCCTTCTGATTTTRATCATCCACTTAACACTTAACTTAGCAAAGTCTGCTGCCTTAAACAGAGCCAGGAAGATACCACAAAGAAGAGCAATCATGTTCCAGGGATTTGCTGTGATAATCTGAAAGAGATGACAAATATTAGTCCCCTCATCTGGTTCCACATCCATCATCCCTATTCAACACCATGCAATTCCCATTTCCAAACTGTTTTGCAGCATATTCCTTGATGCTGCAAAAGTGGGCTGCAGTGCCTTCTCCCCACACCATTCTGATTCCTGCCATCAGGAAGAAAACACACCTTTCAGAATATTTCAGGATATTGAATTGTTTCAAAACTTCGGAGGTACAGTTAAATTGCTAACATTAAAATTATAGATTRAACTTACTGTATTATTTAACTATTTACAAAAACAAGCAGTCACATTGAAGGAGGTCTTCCAGAAGACAAAGCTTGGAGAAGCCAGTACTGGAAAGCTTTACCAAGACAGCAGTATAATGCTAAAGCAGCTTCTGACAGCAACAACTGCTACTACAGAGCTATAGCTAGTATTTTGTATATTTTGCTATGTTYGGTTCAAGAATAGTTAAGCTTATTTCTAATTTGGATTTCTCCTTGCACCTCTCAGCACAAGGATTTCTGATGGAGCAAGCAGAGTTAGGCTTAGGCAGCAGTGGAGCAGGAACAGGGCTTTGGGATGGCCAGCACAGTGTCACCAGGTCATCCCCCTGAGCCAGAAGGTCTCAGTCTGCATTCACTTTGGTTTTGGGAAAAAAAAAAAAAAGTAATTCAATCAGTTTATCTGAGCAGACTTATTTAAGCAAAAAGTTCAGCCCTGACATGAAGCTGCCCTTTGCTAGGACACAGGGGACAGGTGCTTTTCTTAGCTGCGTGTACCTCTGGCTGCAGCAGAACGCTGAGTGTCACCAGCCCAAGGAAAAGCACCAGATGGTCCTGATCTCCACACATGATGCATTAATGGAAGAGCCCAGCCTGAAATTTCAGAAGCAGCCTCACTCTTGCTCTGCATTTCTGCTTGGAGTGAGGTAACTGAGGCAAGTGCATGCACACAGAAACCACGAGCATTCAAAGCCAGRCAATGATTCAAGAAGGGACTGGTGGGTTACTCACGTCCTGAACAGTCTGTATAAAGGGATCTTTCCATTCAAACACCACGAAAAACAGCTGGTCACTCCTTGGTTTAGTTCTCTGGTCAATGTAGTTGACCACACTGGTCTGGGGAGATGGAAAGGAAAGCACAGGTTACTTTCTTCAGGGGTACAATGAATCTTTTGTGCAACAGAAAAGGCCTGTAAGGTGGTGAAAATAGCAGAGYCTTTAGGGACTTCCACCTCAGTCTTTCTCTACTTTGAACAATGGTCTGCCAAAACATGGAAAGGGCAGTTTCCTTCTTCTGTCTCATGTTCATATTATTWTCCTGTTTCACACTCAGTATCACACTATGATACCACTTCTACATTGCCTTTCAAGGGTGGGAGGAATTAATTTCCAAAACTCGTTTACTTACAGCAATACAACTTTTGGAAAGTTCTCATGAATGAATGCTAAATTAGTTTTATTTACCAGAGAACCCCACAAGGGTGGCAGGAAGACTACTTTTTGAAAAATCCATTATAGAATAAACTAGAAGATTCCAACAAATGCAGAATGAAAGAAAGAAGCCCAGATGTTAACAACCAAACACAATTTGCCAGTACTGCCCATTAACTAGGTCACCACTTGAAACTGATGCTCCCAGCGGAGAGCTGTAACACAATTCCAACAGGGAACTGGGTTAGGATACCAGGCTATGTTACAGCCACATGAAACCACAATCTCAAGAACCACAACCAGGAAAATATTAGGACATCTGACCCAAGAAAAAAATTTTATTGTACCACCTGCCCCAAGTCCAGGGGGGAGCTACACAGGGTTTGTTTGCAGGCAGTAAATAACACGGTTTGAACTGGCCTCTGCTCCTAGGGGGCAACACAAACTGCCCAAGAGACACACAGGGACCTTGGGAAAGCACAGTGGTGGAAGGACTGCTCCCTTCTCCAGCCCTCAAAACAGTGTTTCCATCTTGTGTGTGCAGAGGGAAGTAATGCTGCCCGTCCTGTGGTTAATTCCGTACTGGAAGCTACGAATCCGGTAGCAGTGTGGCGTCATATCAGGGCTGTGACACAGAGATGGGACAGATGATGGAAGAACATGCCTTTTCCATGAGCCCAGTTTTCCAGGCAGAGCAAAGCTGGAGGTCTCTAAGCAGACCACTCCTTCATCTCCTTGCAAGCCCTCCCATTGTATGAGGGATGATCTGCCACAAAAGCCTCGTGTCTGCACCATGGTGCAGTTTCTTTACAAATACCTCAAGGTTTCTCTCAGTCTTCCCCACAGCCCCTACCCTGAACAGATGTTGGGCTGCAAACAAGTAGAAGCAGGAGCTGGAACACCATTTATGGCCACTCAGAGCAYGTGGGAGCTTCCCCACCTCCTGTTTCTGGTCAAACACGTTTGCTGCAGATTTGCCCCACACTCCACAGCTCATTTCCTTATTGCAGGCCACCAGCAGCCCAGCTACACTCGCCCAAGRAAACTGCACATCAGGAAACAAACAGCACACAAGGCCAAATGAAGGGAAGAAAACACAAATGAATGACTGCTGGGCTAGTTAGCAGAGTGAGTGACTGCTCTGTCTGACCTAGTATTTGTATCCATCTTTCCAGTATGCCAGCTCCCAGGCTTGGATTTGAAAGGCTAATGGACTTCCTAGTGCAATTTGAGCAGATGTTGTACTGTCAAACAAAGCAAGTGCAATTTATGTCTGAGCTGCTCCAATTTCTGCTGCATTATTAATAGGGATCTGATCCTGGTTCCTAGGTTTTATTAAAAACAAACAAACCAATCCACAAAACAAACAGAAAAACCCAAACCACCAACAATGTTCACTTACTCTGATGATCAGAGTCCATAACTGCTGAACTGAATACATGTTTAGGGTCACAAAAAGCTCATTTTTTTCTGATTTAGAGCCAGCCTTTTGTTTCCACTTTGAGACAYGTTAGACTTTGGTGCACAAAGGAGGACTTTCAAAAATCCTGTATTTAGTAAGCACCAAATGGCAAATGATGCAGAGCTGCAGGTGATGAAGGACACACAGACAGCTGCTGTCAGTGCTCACATGGCAGCAGCAGACTGATGCATTCTTTCCTCTCCTCCAAACCAAGGCAATAATTTGGGACTTGCATGATTCTGGGATTTGCCTCCTGTCCTTCTCCAGGGGAGTGGRAGGGTATCCCCTCACAGTCACAGCTCTGCTCTCCCCGTAAGGCTGTGCCATGTAACACCCTAACTGTGAGAACTAAAGATAGAAATGAATATTCTGCTTCATTTTGCTCTCCCCAGAACACTCCTTCCAAAAGTACMAGGGACTAAGAGAAAGTAMAGTCTCTTTCAGAGACACTCTCTGCAAAGGACTACTCTTAAAACTCTCATTTCTCACCACTGATGAGACACTTCATTTCCAACCAACACTGGAAGCAAAACAAACTAAAAACACAATTAYTTTCCTGTCCCTTAATGTGAACAGAACAGAAATGAAAGTCAAGCTCATTTCCTCTCTAGATAAATTTGCATCTTCCGCCTGCACATTTTCTAKTTTTAAATGACGCAACAAGTGAAGGTACTCCATGTTTCTAAGGACACTCAACAGCTAAAAATTCCAAACCCAAACAAAAAGCAGACATGAGAATGCTACAAAGGATACAAGGCTTACATTTGCCTCTTCATCCTAACATCAGCCCCTGTGGCAACCTAAACAACACCTCTTTCCAATAGTAGCTGTTATTTAGAGAATTCCTTTAGCAATTGCTCTCCACCTTGAACTGTAAGTAGCTGTATTAATATTTCTATGTCAGTTTCTTTGGACCCCTACCTCAGACTGCAGGAGCCATAATGCATTTGAGGCCTGGATTTCTGGCCTCTCTGTTAGGAGATGTCTTCCTGAGCCATRTCACTAGGCCATACTAACAGCTGAGCACATCAAGACATTTACACTTTTACAAAATCCCTCCTTGTTAAGAAAGAATGTGAGTAATCAAAACTGCTCAGTGCAAAGTAGAATAAAGGATGTGATGAAACAAAAAACAAACTCCTTAAACATTATGAATACTCATCTTCTTCTTTTTTTACCTCTTGTTTGAATTCAACAGTCTCACTACCATCTTCTTTTGTTTTGACCAAGGACATCTTGACCCAAGTTCGGAAGCCCCCRGAAAACTTCCAGCTGGAGTATGAACTTTCACAGTCCTTCATGAATTTTGCTTTTTCTGTACTGAAGGAAAAAGAGAGTTACTTTATTGACCAAACTGAGCACTGCAGRCAGGAGAATGCCAGATCTACAGGCACTTCAAATTATGTTCACAATCCCTTTTATCCTTCACCTGCTAAGTTCAACATATCTRAAACACCGTGTGCAGGGATGTTTTCATTAACAGTGGCACTTCCCTCGTGCATCCTTAACTGCAGAGGAGTCACCTGGTACCCCATGACCCTGGAATTGTGCTGCCTGCAGGGATTGTTCTGCCTTGTAGGCAGTTCAGCTCTGCTCATCTCTCATCTCTGGGACAGAAAGGAGCAGGGCCAGACCTCAGGAAACCTCATCACCATGTCAAGAAGCAAGAGACAGAAGGAAGAGCCTAGAGGAAGGACAGGGTGCATCATCTCATTTCTGGCATGCAAATAACCTGGCTGTCAAACAAATCAGTTGTAAAGCAGACATACTAAAAATGCTATGAAATTTATATTCAGTATATTCCTGATATTCCTATTATTTTGGAAACACTATACCAGCTGCACAGGGCATAGTGAATTAACTGTGCTATTTACTTGGAGCTCCTCAGTACTGCAATTTTAGCCATTTTCACGTCATCCCTGTGAAATAAGCCCAGCCCTGCAGCTGCTTTTCCAACAAGATTTCAATTGAGAAGAAGGGGTAAACCACTGTGATAAATCACAAATCATTAAAGCCTATTTTTACTAAAGACAGATTGCAGGTTGTAGAGATTGGCAGGGTCGGTTGGTCCTTAAAAGAAGGGAGAGGGTTTTGATCCAGGCTAAACCCATCTGCCTAGGAGAAGGGAAAGGGTATTCTTTGCTTGTATGGCAGAGGGTTTGCATGACCAGGTCCTCTGAGAGATTAAGGTGTTTTGGTCTTTCAGGAGAAGAATGCAAAGAAGTAAAGAAGAAAAGCAGAGCTGAAGAAGCAAACTCTTGTCCCAGAACACACCAATCAAGAAGATTTGCAAATCTGGCTGGGTTTGCCCTTTTCCTGTATTTTTCCTCTTAGTTCTCAAACTCGGGGCTCCTTTTCTTCCCACAAACCACGGTGCCTTGTCTACAAGGAGCAAAAGGACTCACTGGCCAAAGTACCACATTGATRGCCACTCTGTACCACACCACCTGCTCAGCATTAGTAGGTGAATGCACACACGTCCACAGGAGGGCAAAACCCAGCAAAGCCACTGCCCTCAAGTCATGGGCCCAAACACAGAATTCCATTGTGCACGTGTACAGAGAAAGTTTCTGCAAAGAAAATCTAACATGCCTTGCTACCCATCAAGACAGATGCKGTTCCAAGGGTGTTTTAGGACTTCAGGAATGTCCTTCTTTGTGACACAAGGTACTTATTTAGTGACCCCAACAGGATGGCACCTCTCAACCTCCCAGGGTAAAGATGTGGGCAGAGCCGAAGGATAAAGCCCATGGCCTGCCTGCTCCTCACCATAACAAACCAGAGACACAGGAATACCAAAATCAACTGCTGCTTTCCCACCTTGGGATGTGGGCAGAGCAGCAGCTGAGGGGACAGCTCAGAGGAGCACTGGAGTGCTTTGCCACTCAAGAGGAACACACTTAATTAGCACTGCCAGCCAGTCATATGCCTAATGTCTGGCTAAATACAGCATCCCAGCAAAGCTTTCCAAGCCAACGTGGAAAAATGAGGCAGGAAGTTATGAGACAGAGCTGAACATTACAGCCACAACTTCCATGGTAGGCAGACAGCAGCAGCGTKCTTGGCCTTTGACAGTAATTGCAGGCTTGAAAATAAAGGATTAATAATATCTTAGGAGAAGCTGTGGGGAAGGGATCTGAGAAGGCATCTCCTTGCATGTGCCCACAATCCAGACCACWGCCACAGAATGAGGGGAAAAAAGCGGGGGTGGACAGGAGGAGCAGAGCAGAGAGGCACAGGCTTTGCACAAATTATAGCAGAGGGCAAATAATGCAGCTTTAAAACCACACACAACCAAGTGAACACATGACAGGCAAGGGATCTGAAGCTGAAAAACAGTTCTGCAGGCAGTGTCTTTTCATTCCTGCTTCTCACTCAAGACAGACAACCCACACAGGCTGCAACCCTCTTTTCGTTGCTGTTTGGGATTTTTTGTCCTTTTTTTCTTGTCTCTTTTTTTTTCTGATCTGTGGGAGTCACTAACCTATTTCTGGACTGGGCTGTAGTGCCGCAGTGAATCCCTCCAACACCAGTTTCCATGGATCACCCCACGTGAGGCAAAGGCAGTTTAGGACATCCCACCAGCAGATCCCAATGCAMAAGCAAGAGCCAAACCCACTGATGGTTCAAACCTGATTTGTGTTTATTGCTTTTGTGTTTTCCCCAGCCCAGGAAAGTCTCAGATAGTCATGGCATCTAATAAAGGTTGGTGTGGTACCAAAAGTCCTGACCCTTCTCTGTTACATTTCCCTGCATGCAGCAATCCAGACCAGAGCCATGAACATGGAGCTCTGTTCAGACCCCTAAATGATCTCTGATCTGCTCAGACTGGTATCCATCATTTCCCAGGACCATAAGTTATTTGACATGCTACATTAACAACAGTTTTGCCAGGGGTATATTCAGAGGATTTTCTTCTAAATCCCATGTATTACACTAATGACAGCTCAGGAGAGAAACATGTATTTTTAGCTGCACTTTTTTGGTAATTTGCAAGGGTTTCATTATTTCCCTCCCTCCAATTAATATGGTACAGACAGCAGCTGCCACTGCCTTAAAAAAAAAGAAAAGAAGAAGCCAGCAGCATATCCCTCCATCTGAGAGGCCAACAACAGCACACAGAGCAGCAGTGTTCTGTGCAGACCAGAACAAAACCAGTGAGCAGTGCCAGTTTCATGGAGTCTGATCCAATTTGAACAGAAGAGCTGCGGAGAATRAAGCCCTTGACAGAAACAACTGGACCTTGCTCGAGCCCTCAGCACTTACCAAACCACAAAAAATCTCTTAAAGGTACAAGTCTCTAGGTTCCTTTTTTTTATTGCTGGTGGCACCTCTGGTAACACTGCACACGAACTGCTGGGCACACACTAATGCTGGGCTCTCATAACCAGTGAGACWCTTGGTCAGGAAAAGCAATTAACAGAGGCCAGTAAATGAAGTTTTTAGAGGCTGTTTGGAAGGACTCACAACAGTTTCTACACATACCTTAATCCAAACTTCCCATCAGCTAAATTTAGCACCCGCTGATGAACAAGAAATTATTTCTGTTTTCTCTTCTGCTGGGAGCTGGACAGAATAAGTGCTCTGCACATACACAGGGCAGGAGAAATGTAAACTCCCTGCCTTGAGCCCATCCAGAGCATGCCCTGGGATTCCAGGACAGCACACACAGTACTCAGACAAGCCACACAATCTGTACCAGGCTTTGGAGGATACTGTGGAAGAGACACCACCGGCCTCTTGCCCAAAGCTGGGTCTCCTCCTGTATTCCATCCAGATCATTTACCACTAAAGCCTACATCCCCTTGCCCATTTCACTATTCACTGGCTTAGCTCAAAACCAGCTTTAACTCCCATTCYTACTGCCTCAAATAAGCACAAAGGMTGCATCCCCAAACRGACATTCCCATTTCCCACATGGCTTCCAAGGCCTGAGGATGCCCAGACTGAGCTATGAGCTGGTTCACTGTGCCATGAGCCAGCAGCAACACCAGGGCTGGTCTCAGCCAGTGCTTCTGTCTGGAAGCATAGACAGAGCTGAGCACCTTGCTGCCATCAGTCCCACTGTTCGTGTTTCCAACCAGAGGACAAGCCATAAAACCACAAAAAAATATGTAAGGAACAAGCAGCACCTTCTACACCACTGCTCTTAACTGGTGTTTTCTCAYCCTAAAATATCAATGCCTAAAAACCCAGAACATTAGCATTTTATGAGGTRTTCTACTATAGTTTCAGAAAGTTGKTAAAGACTCAAGATCTCTTCTTCASTGAAGTARAAAYGCTTTGTAAAAGGCAAATTCAGCAAATTGTTCTTTGGCCACCCAGAGGTATCATGTCTGAATACTTCCAGTCTTTGATCCACTTGAAAAGCACCAGCATGACCAGGTCCAAACCTCTGAGATGGCTTTGCTACAATAAAATCTGTTCTCCTCCGCCCAAACTAATTTTGTTCTGAATAACTCCTTTGTCCCCTGCCCCTTTTTTACCTATCACCAAATTAAGGCTTTCTATCAGGTGTCACTATGACTAATATTTCTTGTCTAACTTTTAATCTGGATCTCAGAGAAAAGAACAGAACTTRAATTTAAATTAAAGCAAAAATTAAACAGTCAAGTATGGAATTTATTTTCACATGATGGGGAAAAGTRTGGGTCCTTCAAGAAAGTTCAAGAAAAGATTAATTTCTTGTTAAAATTAGAAGAAGGTTGATTAATTACTCCAATAGCACCAATGTAAAGCAATACAAAGCAATTTTGAAAACCCCATACATGAATTTATGTAATTCTATAGAAGCCTACATTAAGCCAGTAATACAAAGAAACAGAGTTAACCTTTCTGTGAAATCACAACAGATCTGACCTTCACAGTAATTACTTTAAAAAGCCCAAAATGGCACAGAAATATTAGTGTTCTTGGTGCACTTCCTGACACACTAGCCAGGACAGAACACTTCCTGATCACCCACAGCAGCAGACAGCAGGAAGCCAGCACAAGCTCCAAACTTTTAGAAAGTACAGCAACAAACAGTTCAGGCACAGCTGAAGAACATTGTTTGTCACTGAAAAAGCCCTTAATGCATTTTTTAAAAAGTCAGATTAGTAAACAAAGACATGAAAGAGCACCAACGTARTCCAAATATTAAAAATAACATAAAAGCCTGTGATTTTTACTGAAAAAAGCCTTGCTTTTGCAAATATTGTGTCAGCGAGTTCAATGCAGTCACAGGCTCATCCTCCCTTTACATACCTGCTGACAAACTCTTGGAAAGAAGAAAACAGAAGGTAGTCAATGGCACTGAAATCTTGGTCTGTTTCATTTAAATGGAACTGCAAAAACACCAGCTCCCTTTTCTTCACATCCCGAGGGCCTTGGACAACCAAAGCATACTTCTGTAAGCAAACAGAGATGGCGAGAGGAGTAAATGATTCCTCATTTCCTGTGCAATAATTTGCCATCTGGCATTAATACTCTATAGAAATCCAATACACACTGAGAGTTTCTYGGCTGCTAGTAAGTGCTCATACCCAGAAATAATGCAAATTGARTCCCTCCTTTCAGCTCAAAAAGGAAACCTTTACATCAAGATTTAGCATTTAAATATTAATGTTTAAGTATTAAATATGGGCATTTGTGAGTTTTGCACATTTGTTTGTACAGAAACAAGCTTCCCTGCACTTTTAAGGGCAATTTAAGACAGATTGCCACTCAATGTACCTATCCTGCTGGCTCACAGCATTTCAGTGTAATGAAACACTTGGTGCCCATTCAAGATTCTTCCAAGTGTGACAAACATAGTATGTAATTCCCAGCAGGAATTCATGTACAAATTCCCAGAAAACACACAGAAAGAGATTAGCAATCCCCCTTTAATGGATACTGATACTGCTTTCAATCTAAGCTAGATTTAATTTACAATATCAAGGAAGAYGCTTCCCAGTTCATTTAGGAGAAGAATGAAGTGAGAGTTTCACTGTGAAAAATGACTTATTTTATCCCATTAAGGGTTTTGTGCTGCACACACCCACAGGACAGCTGATCTTCCATATCACATATCCACACTGACTTGGGGTCTTTCACATTTCTGAAAACAAAATGACACATGGCTTATAAAGAAACCAAACCAGAAGCAAGGATTTTTTTACAGCATGTAATAAATACTTTTACTTCYCAGTAAGATTATGAGCAGAAAACCCACACTGCATAAGCTTTGTTTATATTATTATTACCATAGTTTGATTAGTAAAAGGATCTGAGTAGTTGATCCTCTGAGTGGTGCATTCAATGTCTCCTGGCTGACCTGGATTTATCAGAGGCGGAATGTGATCGTAGTAATGATGTTTGCAGCTAAGCAGCCGAGCCTTGCCTGGGTAAAAGGCAATACCTGTTTGGGGAGAAAAAACATTGGAGAGCTGATTTCTTTCCCAACTACATAAATTTTCACTGTGGAATTTAATCTCACAGGATACTGAGCTACCCTTAAGATCCCACAAAACAATCAAATTAAACCTTGCACTTCCCTGTTCTTCTGGGGCAAGACAAAAGCACCGACTGCACCAGGACAGACCCCCCACAATGCTTTGAAAAAAATCAGGGTTCATAATCTGTTACAACAATTCACAGAAGCTACCAACTTTCCCTAGCCTCCCCAGAAGCCAGCAGCTAATCCAGCAGCTCCTCTCACCCCAAATGAACYTGTAAAGCAAGTTGGGAGATGTCAAATGGGACATGCAGTGCTTCAGCTGGTACATGYTTTCAGATATTAACATTTAACACATCAAATTTAATTGGAAATAATGTACAAACCATACATGACAGATCAAAGATCATTGGCTGATCTAATAAAAGGAACGAGATGCTCAGAACACAGCATCTTCTGTTAACTGAATGTGATATCATGATAAAAGTCAAAGCCATCAAACTGCTGCCATCCCTTATTATTGCCATCACTGGGTAGGCAGGCTGCTGCTCCAAATGGATGGAAGCTCACCTGTACCATAACCCTCCTGTTCCAGTCCAACAGTGCATGCAAAGAACCTCAGCCACCTCAGCCTGGGAAGGCTAGCAAAATACGAGACCCAAACCTCCAAAATCCTTTTGCACCACACATGCCATACTTATTACTGGAAACAAGCTTGCTGGAAGATAATGCAGTACAACTTTTTTTTTTTTTTTTTTTTATTTTTTTTTTTTTAAAAAAAAAAAGAGTATGACTTATTAGCTATAACTAACTCACACAGCTGAGATGCTCACCAAAACGTGAAATGTCAAATCACTCTGCATATATCAGGCTAAAAATGCTTCATCCCTTTCTTCAGAGCTCCATGCTTGCAACTTGCCACCTCAGCATTTTAATAGAGCAATAAACTAAAGGACTATGTTAATTTAGGTTCTCTGACTTGACAGGGATCTTCAACAATACTTTTGGACTTATTTGTGTGATGCTCTGCTAATTTAAAATCTGCTTATTTTCTTCCTGTTGCTATATGAAAAGCTCATGTAGGAAGGAAAAAAAAAAAAGGGGAAAAGCTTGAGTTTGCTTGCTCTTACAGTCAGATTTACATAGTCCAAATACAAGGCACTTCTTCCACAGCTGAGCTTAACTAGCCATGGGGAAAAACAACTACAGTAGTATGGCAACAACACGAAACACTCACCTTTCAGCCACAATCGCTGAAGTGGGTATTTGCAAAATGTGGTAACACTTCAAACAGAAGTGTCATTGTTAAATTGGAAGGTGACTGATGACTGAGCTGCATTTGCTACCATGGCTCTACTCATGAATGGCTACTGGACAACTTTAAAAAATAATAACAACAAAACTCACTCTTCAAAAATGCTCCCGTGGAGCAATTCCTCCTGCAAACTGCAACACAGTTTCTGCTGCCACRCTGCATTTTTATGCCAGCATTGTTCCCTGCAGTCACATCATGGCCTACTGACGTAAYAGCACGCTGTAAACAAGGCAGGATGGAAGCAGAAAGTGGCATTGTGGTTATTCTGTGCTTGGTTTGAGAAATTCACCTTCTGTACTGTGAATGGCATCTCGCTGCCCAGTGCAGCACTGAGCTCCTGATATACATCCTGAGTGACACCCTGAATGACACAGTTTGGGGAATATTTCCAAAAGGAATTATCTTTCTCCCCTAACAGAGGATTCATTCTAGAGTCTGAAAACACTCCCTATCTATCAAACATTGCACAATTCTTCACAGCTTCCATCATTCATTTATTGGCACAAACGCTCCCAGAAATCTCCCGTACAATGTYAACATTTCTGTGCAAAGTCAACACAACCTTAGATTAAAAAGAGAGGAAATGAAAGATCTGGGTCAAAGTATTGTATGCACTCTGGGCTCTGGAGAATGAACACCAAAAATCCAAAACAATCCAAGAAAAACATGAGCAAGAACTTAACCCATTTTGCTTGTCACCACTCTTACCAGGTGCATCGTACAAGGACACTTCCTTGTAAGTGACAGACATCACTGGGTGCTTGAGCTTCTCCCTGAAGTCACTGATGGTTTGGTAGACAAGGAACACAGCTACAGCCATGAGCAGCAGATAAATAAACAGGAGAATTACTGAGAAAACATTCTTTAGGCAGGTCTTGCTGAAACGCAAAGAAGGGGTAGTGGTACCCAGTTCACCATCTGGAACGAAACAGAATATGGATTGGGACTTTAAAATACAGGCATTTGTGCTCAATTTTCATTTAAAGATCAATCATTTGAGAGGAAAGTAGACCTCAAACTCAGGTTGATTTAAAAAAAACACAGCTAATTCTTGTTTTTGATGGTCAGTCAGACAGATGCTTCCTTCTCAAGTATGAGGTGTAATCATCCTAAGATTGTGCCTCCTTTTCGCATGCCAGAATCCAGCACTCTGCCTAAGGCAGGAAACAAGGTTCATTTCCAAGGACAACTCAGAAACAAAGTTTAAAGTTCACAAGAACGTCTGTTGACGGTCAATTTTTGCTTCTGGAAAAAAAAAAAAACAAAAAAACATCTCCTTTCCTCCCATTTCCAGTCTGAAATGACTCTTTCCCACATTCAGCATATGCACCAGCAGAGTGATTTAACATTCTAATGCTCTTGCCCAGCTCTCTGCATTGCATCTCCACCATGGCAGAAGTCATAGGTATTTGTTACCCTCTAGTTCACAACTCCTTGTGCATGTTGAAACCTTCCACAGAAGGATTCTTCCATTTACAGCTAGAAAAAGAGYGACCCAGKTCTCCCAYRGTCTCCTTGCCTTYAAACCTWATTCTCTKCAGATCTCCACACCAGTCTCACCMACACACAGACACTGCCTTCCCCSTACCYYTTGCATTTGCCATTTCTTTTGGCAGCACTTCAAAGGAAAAGGTTCCTGTACTCTTGAGTTACACATCACATTTTGGTTGTGGGTGAAYACACCAAAGGAGCATTAAAACTCAACATCAGAAAGAAGGTAAGGGGCCATGCTCCCTGCTGAGTGTTCTGGGGGGTGTCATCAGGCTGTGTCACACAGCTCTTCAACTCTAATGGCAGGGTTTGGTGTTTGCAACCATGAGACTTTTAGTAAATCCTATTGCACACGTAACTGCTCACAAAGGTCCACGGTCAAGTTACGTGCCAGGAGATGGCAGCCAAAGCAATTAGGACATTAATATGCATAAAAYTGCACTGTAGAAACAAATAGGTCTTGAACAGCTGCAGGGCGTTTAGGCCATACTCCTTTCAGGCTGGCTGACCTCAGTGCCAGCACCTGAGGTGCAATAAGCCCTTTGAGCAYTGCTCCATGCCCTCCAAAAGCAGCCTGAACAGTCTAACTAAAAATCTATTTAAAAGTGTATTCCATATTGCATCTTGCTCATGTGAATCTGGCACAGAATCTGCCTGCAACCCACTGCCACTCAGGGAAGGCACAATTTAAAGATGACACACAAAGCTATCTCAGAGTCAGGTGTGCTGAACCTGTTTAGATTGAGCACAGTTCACAACAAAGAAATATTCTTTCAGTCTTTGGAAAACCTGCTTGGATTTCCATCAGTACTGATTCACAAAAACAAGCAGTGTTTTGTTTGCTTTCACAAAAAAGTAAAATAGCAGTAAAATAACAAAATCAAAACAACCAAAGGCACGCACAGCAGCAGCTAACAGGCCCTAAAAATCAATAATTTTTGGGTCAATGGTTCTCACCTGGTAAAATAACAGAGCTGGAATCTTCATGAACTTCCATCTCTCCTTCTTTCTCATCTGTTGGGTTTTCAGAAACTCGCTCCACATCTTCACTCAGCTGTGTAGTTAAAACAGTGGTTCAATTTCCAAACATGCTCTCAACTTGCAATTGTTGGAATTTCTATGGTACAAATAAAAGAGGCTCCAACAAACCAAACACACAAGAACATGCCCCCAGTCCAAGAGCAYCCAACACCTGTTCCACTTGTTCACAAAACAAGAGCCACACTTCTGGAGACTTAGAGCCAAAGATTAAGTCACTTACATGCTGCAAATTCAAGCTACTTCCACCCTGCTGCTTCAACAATAACATCACCTTTCCATTCAAGATCAAAGTAATTATTTCCCCAGCAGCTCAAACACACTTTAAACCCCCAATCAGGACAGTGTTCTCTGAAACAAGCAGGAACTCTATTCTGTCACTGAAGAACATATTTAGGCATGAAGAAACAACAGCACATACCAGCAAATAGAGCATTAGCACTTCTTAATAAAGAGGTGCAAAAAGCACGAGATGCATTTTGACAGGTGTTAGTGCAAGTCACCAAAATACAGTCTCGCATCTCTGCATTTCTGGTCCTTATTTGATCTCACTGTGCAGATTGCTATATATTAGTGGTTATGCAACTAATTAGTCTTCCAGTGTTTCTGAAACACCAACAGAGACCAGATGTTTTCTTGTTTTGCTAYTCAGAGCTCTGGGCTCAAACTGCCAGGCCACTTCCGTCAGAGTCAGAAGCTCGTCACATCAGATACACATCACACGAGATCATGAGGCACCACAGTTTTTATACATTATAAATATAAAGTAGCTCCTATATTTTTCCCAAGTTTTCTTTTGTGGTGGGAACTGGTAGAGATTACAACGCAAAGCAGGGCATGAGCTTGCAGCACATTCCATTATCCTTGTTCTTGTTTCCAGGAAAATGGGGGCACAGTCAATGCAGCAACTGCACTGACTGCTATTAAACATTACACCCCTAACTTACTCAACAGCAATGTGCATGGATCCATAAGGAAGTGCTTTTATTTCACCCAACTTTAATTCAGGACTGAAATMATCATTACACCATTACCAGATCATCATTAGCACCTATTAGGAAAGAGTCTGCTCATTTTACGTCTTYCAAGGCTGACAAAAAGTCTTCATCACCTCCTGCTGTATTTCTGCATTCATTTCCCCCATGCAAAGCAMGATGAAAGCAGTTACCCAGTTGTTTTTCAATGCTCAGCACATAAACAAGGCATGATTTCCCACAGCGTGAGGCAAGAACYTAACAGGTAATTTATAGGCTAAAAACCCATCTCACATGCAAGACCCTTACCAGGGTCCAACTGAAGATAACTTTTTCAATYATCATCATAAAATAAGGGAAAATTAACACTGTGCTCCTTTTTGTAGAAACATGCTGGTTCTGTTTGTGTACCTGACCTAAAATAAACTATTCTGACCCTAGAAAAGGACTTACTRAACCTCTTTTACTGGTTACATCAGTCAAGAAGTCAGTTCCAATTACACCCRTGGAAATTGCTGATACCAGAGCTGATCCAGCAAATTTAATGTAAGTTACAAAGTCACTGCAGTTGCTCAGCCGACTCCCACACCTCTCTGATCCCCCAGTCACAGGCACTGACTGAGGTTATTTGGAGGGTGAATTCTATTCCTGATGACAARGAGATCCCAACACAAGTTTAAATAAGAATGTAACATGAAACATTTCCTATCCTCTTAAGAGGACCCATAGGATTTTTTTCAACACATAGGAGAAGAAAGATGCTCTTAGAAGTAATTCCCAACTTAAATGATTCTGTCATTGTGTGAAAAGCTCAGAAAACATAAYCTTTCAGCACTCCTTWGAAACAAACCAAAAAAYCCCAAACAATATGCAACTATGTTTTTTTACCTCTGTTCACAATGTTTCATATGCTTTTCACACATAAAGCCAGAGATGGACAGCCAGGCAAGAGCATGAGTACTAACATTGTTTCAGGTGCAATGAGCAGGTTGAGGGTTGATGGGTAAGACCCTCTCCCTAAAAACAACTGTAATTTATTGCAGATCCTGAACAGCTGAATTGCTAAGAGGTCACCAAATCCCCTGTGTGTGGCTCAGCCACAGTGCTCTGCACAGCACAGAGCACCCTGACCTTACAAGGCACAGCAGCACAAACCTACAAACCCAACAAAAACCCACAGACACACCGAGCTACAGCCTCCCACCAGCACAGCATTACAGCTGATTCTGGTTCACACTTGTCACTCCTCTTGCATTCAGGGATTCTGCCAACAGTGAACCTGGAGCAGGCCCWCCAGGCTCACCCTCACAGGCCAGCTCTTCCCACATAAGAAGAGGTTTTTGATAAAGGGCCTCATGAGGTGTGGTGCTAATCAGAAGAGACAGATTGCAGGGAGGTTAAGCTTGCAATAGGATGCAGAGACAGGGCAGGATGTGAAGGGCACAAAACAGACTTTCATTCAGCATTCCTCTGGRCTCAGCACACACAGCTGAGGGAGAATCAACTGCAGGAGCCTGCCCGTGTCCCAGCAGTTCCTTTCCAGCCCTGAACACTGAGCAAACAGAAGCTCAGAWAAAGCAACTCCAGACATTTGAGCATCCCTGCTCAGGGCAGAGGCAACAAAAGCTGCTGCAGGTGCCAGAGAAGGGATGGAAACACAGGTGCTGCACTTACACACACTCCCTATCCAGAGTTGTGCCACAGTTTGGGATAAACCTGAACGCATGGAGCAGCGTCAGGGGTGGCTGATAACCAGGTGGMAACACAACATGCACAGTCCAGTCTGTACTTCAGGCATCAATGCTGCTCCATTAACTCCCTCAAGTACCTTTCCTATGTAAAAGCACACAAGGCAATGTCATCCTGATAGTCAACTTTCTGCCGGATAAAACCTCCTTAAATAAAAGGAGAACTTGTTCATACAGAACTTTTACTGTTCAGCTGATTCATCACCTTCCACTGCCTTCTAGCCTGGCACAAAACCCAGAAGCTGAAACTAAACAGACAGCACTACATTAAATTAGAATGTATTAAAATTGAGCCTCAAACTACCCGTCACGTGTGGACAAAGGAAAATATCTACACTCCTTTTGCCTGCAAGATACAAACAAAAGCGCTCTGCTGTAACTCTCTACCGCTGCSGAACTTGGCGCAAACAGCCTGCATGTCTACTAGGAGAGATAGGAMCGAGCAAGGAAGTCGGGCTGCTGAGCCTGTACATTGATATGCAAACCAGGCTTTTGGCACGGTGATAAAGCGCCCTTTAGTTTCCGATGCGGGAGCTCTGGTACCAAAGTCGCTTCTCACACCCGACAGACCATTCCCTTGTTACCAAACCCCGGGTGCAGAGTCCAGCTGTATCCACCTCAAACAACTGCTGCCCATTATTTTAGCCACATTCAAAGGCAAAACACGGCACTGCGTGCACCCGAACMACTCGCTTGTTTCTGCGGAGGGCAGGTGCCACCTGAGCCCCGTACCCAGCGCACACACAGCGCCGAGCCGAGCTCTCGGCGACAGCGCCAGGTGCCACCGCTCGCCAAGCGGCGAGCCCCGGGTCGGGCACCAGCGCCCGGCGAGCCGCCCCCAGCCCTGCCCGGCCCCCCGTACCTCCTGGTAGGATGCGGACACCTCTGGCTTTGGCATAGCATCGGCAGGAGCGGCGCCGCGGGGGCCGGGCAGAGCCCGCCGGCACCGAACGGGGCGGGGCAACCACACCGCGCCCGGGCTGAGCCGAACCGGGCTGAACCGGGCCGAGCCGGGCCGAGCCGGGCCGAACCGGGCTAAGCCGGGCCGAACCGGGCTAAGCCGGGCCGAGCCGCCCCGCCCGGGCAGGGCCACGCAGGCGCCGCCGGGACCCCCGAGCCGCCCGCCCCGGCCGCTTCCCGTCCCCGGCCGGTGCCCGCCCCTTGCCGGGGCTGCCGGGAGGCGTAGTCCGGGCACAGCGCGGCGGTCCGGCAGCTCGGCACACGTGTAAGGGGCTTTGTGAGAGGTTTATAGGAACATTCCCGCCTGCCAAGGGGTACTGACGGGGAGGGGAGTCTTTAGTACACCGCGAACTTCCCAACTCTATTAACACAAGCATGAAACAGAGTGGAAAAGAAAGCTGCACAAAATATTACTTTTTTTTCTTTTTTCTTTTTCTTTTTTTTTTTTTTAAATTTTCTTCTGCTCCAGGCTGTTAGCAGAACACCGAAACAACAGGGGTGCTTGACCAGCAGGCAGAACTCCTGCAGGACTCCCTGGTGACCCACCCACGCTGTGCCCACAGCAATGGGGCGCTGCGGGAAGAGCCAAAACCACTCAAGGGTTGATTCACGACCCACCCGGCCACAAATACCTACACAGCAGTATTTTTTTTCCTTCCCCAGYTTGGAAGTAATTGTTAATGTTTCATCACCGAGAAAAAAGATGTGCAACATTTTTTGCATGGCGGTGCAACACTGTAAGGGAGTCCCTGCTGAGCAGGTCATTTCCCTCTGCCTAAGGCCCATACCTGGTAAGTTAATAACCGAGGTTTGAAGTCCTTCGACAACTACACTACTATTACACATTTGAATTACAGCACTGTAGTCAGAAGACTGGGGGCTGCAAGATCAAACATCCAGGCTTTAAATCCTTCAGATCCTCGCTTGTCAGCACTGCAGTGAAGGATGTGATAGATGCATCTAAACAGCAAAAAGTTTCTAATTTTCTTAATTCCATACGGAATGATAAACATCAGGCTTATTCTTCTTCAGCCAATCCTGAATGTTCCCTCGTGCTGTATTTATAGCATAGGGAAAACATGTCATCAGAAAATTTCATAGTTATTTTTCTCAATTTTTTAATTAAAAATGTCTGAGTTTTTTAAGTCATAAAGGTGAAGCCTGCACTGTGTGCGCTGACTTTGTGAATAAACATTAAAAACAGCTAGCAGAGAAACTTCAGGGAAAAGAAGGAAAATTGAGAAATCTATTATTAGATATTCTGTTATGGTGCCAGCTGTGTATCCTGCATGGAAGTGAATCATAGAATCGTTTAGGTTGGACAGGACCTCTCAGACCATCGAGTCCAACTCTTAACCCGGCAATGCCAAGTCCATCACTAAACCACATCCTTTAGTGCCACATCCACGCTTCTTTTAAATACCTCCAGGGATGGCGACTCCATGCTTGACAACCCTTTCTGTGAAGAAGATTTTCCTAATTTCCGATCCAAACCTCTGCTGGCACAACCTGGGCTATTTGCTCTTGTGCTATCGATTGTTAACCGTGAGAAGAGGCCGACCCTCACTGCGCTGCAGCYGTGGGGCGCCAYRAGGTTCTCCCCGAGCCTCCTTTTCYCCAGGATAAACTCCGCCACCCCWCTCCGCGCTCTGCAGGCGGCGRTGGCTGTTCCYGCGAGCAGCAGAGCTCTCTCCACACGTGTTCCTTTAATTCCAGCCCCATCCCACCGCCCTTCCCGGGCCGCTGGCGGGGGCGGTGCGCGCTCCGCGGCATGGCGGGCACGGCGGCCCGGAGCCCGCTGCCCTTGCTGCTGCTCCTGCTGCTGCCAGGCACCAGCGCCGAGCCGGAGCTGCGCTTCAGGCCGCCGGCCGAGGCCCCCGTGCGGCTCTTCACCGAGCCCGAGCTGGCCAGATACGACGGGCAGCAGGTAGGGCSGGGCGGCCGCTGCTCCGCGCTGAGGCCGGGCCGGGCCCCGCGGGGCGGCCCCTCACAGCCCCGGCGCTGCCTCTGCTCTGGAAAAGGCGTAAAACTCGGCTTTCCCGTGCTGCTCCCGCCATCCCTGTCTCCCTCCCCGTCCTTCTSGGCATCGCTGGCTTTTTAGGCAGCGGTTTTTGAGAAGTTTGCGGGCAGCCGTGCGCTCCAGCCTCTCCTCCTCGGGGCGGCTGGCAGCTGCGGGTTTGATGCTGCTCACACACAATTAGATCATTGGGCGCCATGTGCCCATTTTACTCGCTGTTTGCCAGGGAATTTCAGATTACCGGGACTTGGAGCCAAAGTTAATTTTCTCTCGGTAATCCATTAAACCGTGTACTTAGACCCTTAAAAAAAAAATTATCAAAATAACAACACAGTTTTAACTTAGGAGTGTTTAGCGTCCCATGATACAGAAGCCTCAGCAGAACTTCAGATTCAAAACGATCAAGWCCCTTATTGTTACAAATCTGCTTCTTTTTTGAAACACTTGCTGACTGACTTTCTCAGGGTCACCTCTAGACATTTTAAAGAGACTAACTCATGTCTGACTAAAATTACGTACGTAATGAAACACAAAGCAGAAGCACTGGCTTATTAAGCAAAAAACATGTCAGGAGATCAGATTTACATGTGTCTATATATTTATCTTTGTTTCTTAATCAAATAATGGTGTTGGGCACACACTYTTATTTTGGGCAATATCCATCTGCATTAGGAATAGAAAGATGGAGCTGATAATCTTCAAGCAGATTAGTGTGCATCCAAGAGGTGATTTGCAAGAGGGACATGTCTTCTATGGTTATGGTGTTTATATTAAAAAGATTCTCTCATTGCATATGGTCCAATCCTCAAAAAATATCAGGGACAGTTTAAAGCACAAGCAACAAAAGTCAAGAGAGGAAATGTGTATGCTGGTGTGAGGAAAGTAAACAACAGAGAATTCGTGTCCTGAGAGCTTGTGGGTTTCGCAGCTGACCCTGACTGCCTTTTGCTTATGCTTAAGTGCTGAGGATGTATCCATGGCTTTCTCTCCAGGAAGGACAGCCCATCTACCTGGCGGTGAAGGGAGTAGTGTTTGATGTCACCTCTGGAAAAGGTTAGTGTGATTCTCTGYTCTCTGCTTTGTTTTTACGTTACTGTTCAGTCTTTAATAGTTTTTAAACTGTTCCCAATGTATTGGAAGCCTGCAGTTCAATTGCAACAAAAAGAATATACTTTATCYTCTTTTAAAAAACTCCCCGACTAAGGTTTTGTCTACAACATGCTGGCAGATAAGTCAGCACTGTCCAGGAAGATTGGGCACTGCCAACAGAAAAACAGGAAACATGGAAGAAAACTGCCCAGACTCCCGAGTCCTTGCCAGGTGTGGGGCCAGRCCTCATGGAAGCTGCTGCAACAGCATTTTATTGCCCTGGGTACWTGGACTGAGCAGATCAAAGCTAACTTGGATGTACCTATATGGCACTGCACAATATCAACACTGCTGCAGCTGCATCTTTTCCTTTTGTGCTGGTGTTCACACCTCTTGCTGTTTGTGCCATCCCTAAGAACTACATATGTTTTGATTTGAACTCCTGCAACTTAGTCCAGATTTGCTATAAAAAGTTTGAAGGGACCATGAGGGTCTTAGACACTTGCCTTGATGTCATCCTAAGTAAACTAATGGCTTGTTCTTTGTACTAACCTTGCTAATGCAGCTTGCCTGGGCATACACGTCGGCTGATCTTCAAATCCTAAACTAGACTTGCAGCCACTGCAAATTCTGGCATCTACAAACATGTCATGAAAATGTAAAGCACAGCTCCGACTGTAGTATAGAAAGTTCAACAGCTGTATAACCCCACCCTGTT